TGTTTCAGGAGTCTCTGGGATTGCAGTCATGTACAACTGCATCTGCATGTTCTTGTATTCTCACAGGAAATTTTGGAAGGCAGAAGGGATCTCTCTTTGTCTCTGGACAAAGTGTGGGTAAGTCTGGATCTCAGGGTCCTGAGATACTTGGTCCTGAGGCATCATGGGACATGGCAATGTAATATAAAATCCCAGCTCAAAGGAGTACATTTGGACAGAAATTTCTAGATTTTTGTTGTTGTTGTTGATTTGAGATTGCAGTCTCACTATGTTATGCAGACTGATCTGGAATTCCTGAGATCAAAAGATCTTCCTGCTTTAACCTTCTAAGTAGCTTGGGTTACTGTATGTGCCACCACACTCAGCAAGATTTGTGTTGGAATCCCCTGAACTCTCATTATGGAATTTCCATGATTCCTTTCCTGAGTTTTCCCACTCCTCCTTACCCAAAAATGTTCATATCACATACAAGCATCTTATATATTATAATTTTTCCATAATTTTGATTGGTGAATCAGCATCTTGGATATCAGGAAATAAGAAAAGTGAATATACTAATGTGATTTCCCCCCAAGTAGGCTTTCTGCCCCACCAAGATTCTGCATCTAGGGATCTTGTCATCTCATCTGTTCTTGGCATCTTGTGACATAGAGTGCCTGCCCATGAGTACTGCAGGAATCTTAGAGGGATTCAGACTGTCCTCATGTCTTGGCAACAAGAATACCACAGAAACCACTGGTGCCTCCCTGCTGTCCAGCATTACTAGATCAGACATATGTCCATGTTACAACAACCTACTTGTCATCTGGGAGAAAGTAGAGGACCAATGTGCTGAAACTGAGAGTCCTACCCCCTGACTCCCCAGCCCGGTCCCTGGTTGAGGAAGCATGGGCTACCACCATGCTACAGAGACAGGCCTTGATCCTTTAAGCTGCATGAGAAGAACATAGTCCAGTTTTTCTTGGTTGGGTCTCTTTTCAGGCCTGCTCTGATAGTGGCTCACTCTATTTTTATATTAGACACTGTCTCCCCTTCTCATTGCCAGATGCCCTCCATACTGTTGCTCACCAAATCCTATAGAAACAGCTGTTCCACCAGCCCACTCTTGGCTACATGCAGGTGGAATGTGATTCACAACTGGTATGAGTGCTTCAGTGTGTCAGGAGCCTGGAGCGTGTGGGGAGAGCATATTCAGTCCCCTGGACTTTGCACAAGCATCTGGGCATTGGTTCCAGAGTGTTCTAGGCTGGCTGACACTTCCTTTTCTGGATACAATGGCATATTGACTTGAAAACAAAAGACCTTCTCTCTAGTTGGAGTGCTGGAAGAGACTCCAGTGCCTAGCACCACAAAGAGAGCTCCTACTTTCTTAAACCAGGCAAGAAGCAAGAGAGTAAGGAAGAACTTCTGGCTTTAGATGTTGGCTGGAGTCCTTCTCTGACTCCTATTCTTTTATTACATGGGCCAAAATGAGAGGTCCTAGTCATTCAGTTTCCAGGGAAGTTTCCCTATAGTCTCTCCTTTCCCATTCTTTCAGGAGTTTAGACTTGTTTTATCCTGCAGCTGTGTTTATTTGAGGAAGCATTGGTCATGTTGCATTGACAGTACCAGGGCAGAAGCTGGCAGTCAGGGTCCCTGTCTTAAAATCTAGGACACTGGACTTCTGGGACTGGTAAACAGGTTCCTATCCAGGGCCAAGGAACAGATAGCAGGTTTATAATCAGTGCTTACAAACATAAAACTTGTTGAAAAACTCCTAAACAGGCCACAAACTTGCAGTTGATTTTGTGTATAGCCAAAGGGTTTGAGTAATGATAACAGCAAAATGATGTCTACTGAACATGTGCTGTGTCAGACACTGCTAATTTAGTCCTCATATTAACACTGTATTTGGGTTCTCTAAAGGAATAGGATCCATAGAATATATATTATATATATTAAATGTAACATATGAATATATAAAGAGAGTGTGTGTATATACATACATATTTATGCATATATATGTGTATATATATATATATATATATATATGCATGTATATATGTATGAATTTAAAGGTGGATTTATTAGTTTGGCTCACATCATCAAGGCTGTATTGTCCCACAATGACTGTCTGTAAGCTGGAGAGCCAGAGAAACCAAGAAGGATCTGAATCCCTCTGGCCAAGAAGCTGGAGTCTCAGGGTAAGAGGGACCAACGATGTAGTCATGGCTCTATGCTGAAGACTTGGAAGCCTCCTGAAGGGTCACTGGAGGTGATTCCAGGATGAAAGGCTGAAGAAGCCAGTCTGATGTCCATGGGTGATGGGCAAAGCAACAGACACACCTGCTCTCATAGAAGAGAGCCTGCAGGTACTGTGTGGCTTCCTCTTCTGCTTTTGTTCCATCTGTAGGACCATGCTGCTCACTTTCAGCTTGCTGTCCCCCATGCCAGTTGTCTCTGGAAACACCCTCTCTGACTCTGTTGGAAATATGCTTTATTAGTTAACTAATCATCTCTCCATCTAATCAAGAGGATACTCAGATTTACTATCACAAATCCTGTAATAAAATGCATAAAGTTAGATTCTTATAATTTTTTTTGTAGATTAAAGAAAGTTATATAGTTTGCCTAAGGGAAGAAGTGAATGGTAGAGCTTAGATTCTTACTCAGTTTGACTCCATGTCCCTTAAACTATGATATACCCACAGCAGTGAGTGTTGATCAATTTCTATTATGACTGTAGTTTTTCAGAAGTGTTGGAGTATGGAAACACATCACCTTAAGTTAGAGGTTCTTCCTAAATTCTTGCATAGTTTTCCCCCCTTTTTGTGGTGCTAGAAACCTTGGGCTTCCTGCATGGTAAGCAAGTGCTCTCTCTACCACTGAGACACATTCCCAGCTCTTCCCAAAATTCTTAAAAGAGCCAATCAGGAGATCAAACATATAACCACACCAAATATAAAAATCCATCAGGAAGGGGATACCCAACCATGCCGTCATGCAATGCTTATTCATAATGTCCGATACTTCACAATGCTACTCCAGTCCTTATAATCACATCTGAGAAGGCCCAGTTAGAGCCCACATTTTGGGCTGTGCACACTTTTTTGCTGATTTGCTGACATACTGGAAGCAAGCCCACTTTTTTATTACTTGTTCTGTTCCTCAAAGCCTCAAGAATAATTCTCAGTGACCCTTAACAAATCCCAAAAGTGTTTCCAAAGAAAATGGAATGAGGAAACAAAAAATAAGAGAGTGACATTAAGTTCCATTTTATCCTTAGTGTGAATATACCAAGGTTTGCATGGTTTAAATAGATTTGCATTTTAAATTTGACATTCTCTTGTGCCTGGATACCTTATTTTGGGTCCTCAGATGACCTATGTAGTTACATTATAAAACTGTAAATTTCCTCAGGGGGAAAGGAAAAAAACAATTCCAAAGAAGGTGAACGATTTGGATTAGAATTATATTAACATAATCCAGCTTGGAGTGAAAATTTATTTTGTTAAATTCCCCAAATTTTCTGTTTCATTTCTGTCACTTCTTTTCATTATTGTTGACAAGAGAAATACCAGTCTAAAAATTAACCCACACAATCCAGTAAAACAATTTCCTTGAATGGCAATTTTAATGAACTCTACCCCTGTGGATTTTCTATGACCTTCAACAATCACTTTGACTTTTTAATATGCTTAGAGGATGATCGGCTATAGAATATTAATGAGAAGAATCTCACAATTCTCTCTACTCCAGATATTACTGGCATGGATACGGGGATCCCCAGAAATTTCCGGGCCCAGGTTCTTGATGTTCAAACAAAGAATTGATCAAGACCTATGAAGTTGACAAGCAAAGCAAAGGTTTATTGGAAGTAAAAGCATACACTCTGGGAGAACATAGTGGGCTGAGCTGCAAAGTAGCTCAAGGTTCTGACTAAACAGTGGAGTTCACTTTTATTGGGCTGTGATAATTTTACCTACCCCTTTTCCCCTGGGTGGATTGGGGTTGATTGGAACCTTGATTGACAGTTTACTTTAGTGTAATTTTTTCTTTACTGGCTATGTGTAAATTTATTTTTCCTTGGGAAATGCACACAGGGGGAACAAACCACAATATTAATGATATGTTAACTAGCAACAGGTGAATTTTAGGTCAGTCCCTCATATTATTGCACATACACAACCAAGATCTGGAACTTTCACATTAGGGGCTTGAATTCCCCCTTGTGGCCATCTAGCTTCCTCCGTTAGTTGCAATATAACCCAGTTTTCCTTCAAAGAAAAGTGATTCAGACAGTGTATTAGGTGGGTTAAAAGCTTGGGGGTGTTACCTACATTTCTGTCTTTGCTATCTATCCCTTTTTATGCTCTAAATCCTACTTAACACTGAGAATGTTAAGTAGACGATCAGATGATTTCCCCAAATCTCCACACTCCAGAAACAATATCTAGATTTTCTCACAGTCTTTGTTCAGCATAGAATATTTCATAGGAGAAAGTCAGTTCTCAGTGATTCCCCTGGGTGTGTCTTCAATATTTGCTGATTTGGCTTTGCCTCCCCACCCCCATGCTCTGTATCCTGCTTTATCAAAGATAGAAGGATTTAATACAAGTCCCTTTTCCAGAAACTTTTGGTCATTTCCTTCCTTCTATACACTTGAAAATATGGTTTAGGAGCAAGTACCTCATTAAACCTGAAAGGTGAAATGTTTGAAAAAACACCCCAAATCCTAAATGAATTCTGGGTAACTTAGTGGACTATAGTACTTGTGTCTGGTCTTTGAAGCAGAGAATAAGTGATGTCTTCTGTACTGTTTTAGAATGGTGCCATTCCTGAAGATGGTGCCATCACTTGGGGGTTGGGGATGATTTCCGATTTGGACATGTTGAGTGTGAGGTGCCTGTGGGATCCCTGGTGGGAAGAATACCACCATAAGACAGAGCCAGGCCTAACAGCCAAGCAGGTCAGCAGCCCTTGGCTGTCTCCTGATTTGTCTCACAGGAGACAGCCCAAGGTCCAGAGCAGCCCTGCCTGCATCGAGGACAAGACTGTGGCCATCAGTACTGCTGCTCCCTTCACCTGTCTGTACATAGCCACGCCAGGACCCCTGTCCACCTGCCACTGCTTGGAGATACTCAGCACCACTGGACTCAGTGCTCAAAGCTTCTGGGTAACAAGTCAGTTCAGGAAATCTGCTGTAGAGAAAGCCCTCCCAAAGCTACAGCAGTAGGTGAGACCTGGTGGCAGGCTGCCCCCAAGGAGTTCTGATGATGAGGAAATGTCACAAGTCAGGATGAGACAGGTAAAGTGAAAGGTGCTGTAGGATATAAAGGGGACAATCTCAAAGTGCATCAGAGAAGAATGCATGAAAGAGATGGTGTCTGAGCTGGCTTTGAAAACTCATCCCAGTGTGACTGAGAACAGCAGGATCAAAGACCTGGAGGTGGGGGCAGTGCAGAGGATGTAGTGATTGGCTGGCCTGTGTGGAGGGGGAAGTGGAAGTCAGGCTGAAGAAGCAGATGCTGCCAGACTCTGGGGGCCTTGAAGACTCAGCAAGGATTTGGACTTAATGCTGTGGTGATGGGGAGCCATGAAGGGTCTCGATCAAAAGAGTGATGGATCAATTGGGGCTAGACTTCAATGGCAGAACCACTATGAGGAATGTGAGGAATTTCTTTTAGAGACTAGAGGGACAGAGCCTTGGGAGCAGCTGGAGACACCAATGAAAGTTGGTACCTCTGTGTCTTGTGGTGGGCCTGAAGGTGCTCCAGGACCCTGGAATGACAGTCTGGAAGAAGGTGGGTGTGAAGGGAGAGAAAGGACACCTTCTCTTCTCGTTTTGTAATGGTGCCCAGCCATGTTACAGATGGGTCCTGTGGTGGGGGTGAGGGGTGGATAAAAGGAAGCAGAGCAGAACCCCAGCCAAGCCCTTATGGACCTGGGGCATAAGTGAGAAATCTGTTGGTTTTAAGCCACTTAATTAATGATTCCATTACCACAAGATAGGCTAGCTCATGTTGACTGACAGAGTTGGAGGGCAACAGTAAACGTGGGAGAATTTTCTAGTGAGCAGACCTCCCCCAAGCAGAGCTGTGACAGCTGCTTTCACCTCTGCATTTCTTAGGCTGTAGATGATGGGGTTCAGTGAGGGTGTCACGGCGGCATAAAACAGTGTGATAATCTTATCCACATTGGGGTTCTTTGCCTTAGGCTTGAGGTACATGAAGGAGATGGTCCCATAGAAAATCACCACCACTGTGAGGTGTGCAGAGCAGGTGGAGAAGGCTTTGCGCCGGCCTGAAGCAGAGGGAACCCGAAAGATGGCAGCCAGGATGAAAATGTAGGAGAGGCAGATGAGCAGGAGAGGGGTCACTGTCAGGATGGTTGTAGCCACCATCAATACCAGGGCATTAAGGGATATGTCCCCACAGGCGAGTTTCAGCACTGCTAAAATCTCACAGAAGAAGTGGTTGATGACATTGTGGCCACAGAAGGGGAGGCGCCAGATCAGGATGGACTGTAGCAGTGAGTTGACAAAGCCTGTCCCCCAGCTCAGCGCTGCCATCTGCATGCACATCTGTCCAGTCATGAGCTCTGTGTACCTGAGTGGGTGGCAGATAGCCACATAACGGTCATAGGCCATCGCAGCCAGGAGCAAGCATTCTGTAGCACCCAAAGCCAGGGTCAAGTACATCTGCAGGGCACAGGCTGGGAAGGAGATGGTACTTCTGGTTTGTAGGAAGTTGGTGAGCATGAGAGGTATGAAGGAGGAGGTGCCACAGATGTCTATGAGGGAGAGGTTGCTGAGAAAGAAGTACATGGGGTTGTGCAGGTGGGGGTCCAGCATGATCAGCACCATGAGGAGGGAGTTCCCCAGCAGATTCATGCAGTAGATGCCCAGGCAAAGCACAAACAGGACCACCTCTAGGTCATGGTGCCCATGGAGCCCCAGCAGGACATAGTCCATCACGGCTGTCTGGTTTGTCTCCTCCATCTCATCCTCTTTGCTCTTTAACCACAGAGCTTTTGGAAAGAAGCTCTTGCTGGTGTGGGGACCAAGGGTGGTAGATGTGTGACTTGCAGTGTATCAGCCTCCCTCTCTGGAACCGAGTTTTATCATCTGTACAAGGAGAGAGAGGCTTTCAGGCCTGCATCTGTCCCTCCCAGCTCCTGTTCTATGGACTTTGAGGGGAATGTGCAACATCCTGGCTCTCTAGACTCTTGGCTGTTCTTCACAGGGGATTTCAGAGGGGACAGTAGAATACAAATATATGTGACATGTTTTCTTTTTTTTAAAAAAAAGAGTTCCTACCATTCAAAGGAACCATCTTTTCTCCATTACATCTTCCTATGCCTAATAATGCCCACTGTATTTCAGATTCTTTCATTCAGTGATTCATTCATACCCTGTGGTAGGTATTGTTTCAGGTGCTGGGGCTATACCAGTAAGAAAAATAAGAAAACAAAAAGATTCCACACTGTCTCTGTTGTACCCTCACTTCCTTGACTGAGGTGACATTCTGGGAAGCAGGTGTATGATGGCTGATCTTACCCAGTGTCCCTCTGGGCCCTGGGGATGGAACACTTTAGTGTGTAATTCTGAATTATGGTCATTTCTACTTAAGGAATCAGAAACCATTCATTGCTTTTTCAAAAGAACACACATGAACATTTGTACCCCG